GACTTGGCCCTCCAGGCCTCCAGTTCTGTTTCTCAGTGAGAAATGCTTCAGACCCTGGGAAGATCTGGGAGCAATGGAGCTGGCAGGAGAGATGGGGCTCTTCAGGGCCCCACCAGGCTCGGGGCAGACGCCTGGGCTCTCAAGGAGCAGTGTACAGGACAGGGGTCAGTGGGGTGACAGCCGGCAGCTGTCCCAAGACTTCTGAGGGGCCCTGGGCAGCTGCATGGTGCTCAGCTGTCAGGCAGCCTCTGGGCTGACAGGAGGAGGAGTGTGGGTCTGGGTGGGGGAGTCTGGAGCTGGCCATGGGCCTGGTGGGCCCAAGAGCAGGCCAGCCCTGACACCACTAGGGCCCTGGCATTTCCAGGAAGACCCAGAGGGAGCAGAGATAGGCCTGGCTGCTCAGGGATAGAAGATCTAGAATGATGATGTCAGGGAGCCAGAGGGGTCCAAATGCCTGCGTGTAAGTGGTTAAGTCCCATCCCTTCAACCTCCGGACTTTATGGCCAGACAATGTGGCCTGGTGCTGATCTCTTTCTCCCCAGCTTCTGGTTCTCTGTCCTTTGGTTTGATCCATACTCAGGAGGCGTTTCCTCTCATGGAAGCAAGATGGCTGCAGCAGCTCCACCCTCGTGGCTGTGTCTTTTCTCCTACCTCCAGCATAAGCCTTGGAGCCATTGTGTTTACTGTGTCTTGGGTTGTGCCTATTCCTGGCCAACTACTGAGGCCAGGGAAATGCAGTGTGTGGTTCGGTTTAGGCAAGGGAGGAAGGGGGAGGTTCCCCTCACCACAGAAACTGGGGTACTGTTTCTGTAGGAACAGACAGAGGGTGCTGGGGAGGCTCTGTCCTGTTTTTTTTTTTTCCTTTTTTCTTTTGTTTTGGCCGTGTTTGTTGCTATGCGGCCGTGTTTGTTGCCATGTGGGCTTCAGTAGTTGCAGCATGCGGGCTCAGTAGTTTCTGTGCACGGCCTCAGGTTCCTCTCTGCAATTGGAATCCTCCTGGATCGGGGATCAAATCCATGTCCTCTGCAGGTGGATTCATAACCACTGGACCACCAAGGAGGTCCTGTCCTCTGACAGCCGTTCAAGTGTCTCCATCTCTCTCGGCTTCACTTTGCTCTGTGCGGCACTTGCCAGCCCTTTCCTAAGTTACAGGTTGGATGTTGTCTGTCTGCTGTGGGAAAGCCTTCAAAGATCCCCTGAGACACACAGAATCTGTCCAAACTCCTTCACAAGTCTAGACTGCTTGAGTCATCTGGCTCTAAAACACGGCTCCAGGTCAATCACTCAGGTCTTTTTTCTTTTTTCCCTTCTCCCTCCCTTCCCTTGTATTCCCTTCCTTCATAAATTTAGAGCCTGGGTATATACACAAGAGCATTGAGAATGCGTTCACATAAAAACTTGTACAGGAGTGTTTATAGCAGCACTACTCACAATAGCCCCAAAGTGGAAACAACTCTAATGTCCATCAACTGATGAATGGATAAACAGAATACAGTCCATCTGTACAATGGGATGGGGCTTCCCAACTGGCACCTGTGGTAAAGAACCCACCTGCCAGTGCAGGAGACCTGAGAGACTTGGGTTTGAAGAAGATCCACTGGAGGAGGGGATGGCAACCCACTCCAGTATTCTTGCCTGGAGAATCCCATGGACAGAGGAGCCTGATGGGCTACAGCCCACAGGATCACAAAGAGTTGGGCACAACTGAGGCGACTTAGCACACATGCACATACAATGGAATAGTATTCAGCCATAAAAAGAAACAAAGCACTGATAATGCTATGACTTGGGTGAACATCAAAAACATTATGCTACGTGAAAGAAATCAGACACAAAAGAACACACTGGTATGATGCCAATTATTCGATATGCCCAGAAGAGGTAAACTTGTAGACACAGAAAGTAGATTACCGTTTGCCAGGGAATGGGAGTGGGGTGGAGATGGTGAGTAACTGCTAGTGGGTATGGGGTTTATTTTGGGTGATGAAAATATTCTAGAAGTAGTAGTGATGTTTGTACAACTTTGTGAATGTACTGAAACCCACTAAATTATACACATTAAAGTGGTGAAGTTTGGGAATTCCCTGGCTGTCCAATGGTTAGGACTTGGTGCATCCACTTCTGTGCTGGGGTCCCTGGTTCCATCCCCGATTGATTAGAGCTAAGATTCTACAAGCCACATGGCAAAAAAAAAAAAAGAAAAAAGAAAAAGGATCTGTGTTACAATTATAAATTATTCGAGTTTTCTGTACTGACAATCTGGACGAACTTTCTGGCCAACCAATATCTCAGTAACACTTCTTTTTTTTAATTAAAAAAAAACAAAACCACAAAACTACCCTCCTCTACCCTCTACCAGTCAAGGTCTTTCTTGTCTTCTTACAGGGTTATTTGAGGGAGAGGCCACGAGTGTCCCGCTGGGACTGGCTCTCAGGTGCCTCAGCCAGGAGCCCCAGGGTCAGGGGGAAGGAAGTGTGTATCAAACAGAGAAGTGAAAAATCAGCCCAAATGGCTATTCCCAGCACCAGGGGAAGCGGCAAGGCTGGGCTGAGAAAGCCTGGGTGACCCCAAGCCAAGGGAAAGGAAACACTGAGGCTGAAATGGCCGCAGGAGGCAGGAAGGATGGATGGCAGAGGAGACGTTATGGCCCTGCCCAGGTCCTCACCCCCCAGGACCTCCCCTCCCAGAACCCCCAGCTTCCTGGTTGCTATACACTTGGGTTCCCAGACACAGAGCTACCAGGGGCTTTTGTTCCCTCTGCAGCTCTCCCCTGACCTTTCTTGAGACAGAGCCTGAGCCTGAAGGGTGGCTGAGCAGGGGCTAAAGGAGGCAGGGCAGGCCACCCAGGCCAGCAGGTGAGAGAAGGCTGGGGACCCTACCAAGGGCAGGGCTGGGGCATCGAGGTGTGGAAGGTAAACTTGGTCAGAGTGCAGGACTTCGCTTCTGCAGAACCACCTGCTTCATCCATGGGCTTGTGTCTCAAGGGCTCGGGGCACCACCTGGACCAGGGAAGATGCCGCCAAAGCGGGTTCTGGGGCAGGTGGGTCCCAGGAGTCCAGGCCCAGTTGGGCTCCTCTTCTTCTCCCAACCCCGTCGCCAAGGCCCCCCCACCCCCAGAGCCTTATTTTAGAGTTGTGAGCCCCAGACAAATGAGAGGAACGAGGCTTAAGGAAACTGCTGAGCCAGCTAGAGGGGGCCGAGGAGCAGTCGGCTGGCAGTCATTGGGCACTGACTTCCTGCCGAGAGCAAGGGAAGTTTCTGGTGTGGGGGGGGTGCGTGTCTGCCAGACCTGTCTGAATCTGGGGTTCTCATCCTGCTTTTTCTGTTTGTTTTCAATGCCTGCCTAGGCCCTCCCAGAGCGCTGTCCACAGTCACACGACTTGTATCCAGGCAACGGGCTCTTGTTCCCATTCATGCCAGCTCCAGCTCTCTCCCCTCACCTGCCCTGCACGTGCTTCCCTCCCCTCCCCCTGCCCTGTCCCCACACCCACCAGGATACAGGTATTATTTCCCCTCTGCTAACCATTCCCATCCCACTGGGATCTCTGGCCCATCCTTGCCAAATGGGCACCAAGACATTACCATTCCCCACACGGCTTCTCCAGCAGCAATGTGAAAATAATTGCCAGGGTGTGCCATAACACACCCCAGGAGCCACACGTGGCTCACACGATGAGGGTCATTTTGTTTATTGTGGCCAAAGGCTTGTCATCTTCCCAGGCAAGGGTTTTCCAAGTGGGGGCAGGGTGGGTTTTTAGCAGACATTTGGCTTGGTAGAAATGCAAATGACATCCTTGAGCTGCGGCAATTCTATGGGATTGTGGAAGAGGGGCCCAGGCTCCAAGAATGCCAGGTCCGGAGGCTAAGTCACAGTGGCCGTCTGGAACATGGTTGGGTGCTTCATGTGTGGGGGACCCCAGGGAGGAGGGAAAACCAGCCCCACCCCCACCCTCACCCAGGTGGGGCTGGTCTCTAATTCTGGTCTTCAGAGGAGGTGCCTGTAAAACGGATGCAATGGAACAGCAGCTGCTTGTTTTCAAAGGGAGACCGGTTCTGCCCAAGCCTGGTCAGATCTGTTGATTCCACTTCACCGTCAGATGGGGGAGGCAAAAGTTGGACACAGTTAGGTTACCTATTTATCTCTGACTCAAGGCATTGGCCCTTGGCCTGGCAGCTGGGGGTTTCCAGCCGTGGCTCTGCAGTCTGAGGCAGGACGGCCACCAGCTCAGAACAGAAACCCACTCCTCACTTAGCAGTGACAGCCTCTTGCCAGGTGCCAGGACCCCCAGGGGTGGGGACATGGCGGGGGCCCTGGAGGGCCTGGTCTCGTCTGAGCACTCTGGGCTGGAGGCGAGACCTGGGCGGCGGTGCAACTCAGCTGAGCCAGCGCAAGGGGATCTGGCTCTGGCGCAGCTCCGGGAGGCCCCCCTCCAGATGCAGGGGTCGGGCTGGGACTGAGAGGACCGCGCCTGGCGGGCCCGGCATGCAGCCAGCTGCACGCTCCTCAGCTGAGCCCAGCGCCTCCTTAGCACAGAGGCCACGGGGGCCTCAGAGGGTCAGAGCTGGGGCTGGGAGGAAACCCAGAGTGACAGATGCTCTGCTTCTCTGGATAGAGGTCAAGGAGGCAACATTCTTTGTTCACTACCAGGAAAAAGAAGGAGCGGAAGACAGATTCAATGCAGAAGTTACAGAATTTATTTTATTTCTCCCAAAGTTGTTTTTCTGTCTGACTCATATAAGAAATCGTAAAGCCTTGACCTTCCTGAGCGTGCTGCACCCACGGCCAGTTCTCTCTGGACTCCGAGTGTCCAGGAAGAAACAACCGCTTTCTTCCAGAGAAGCTGGACTCAGGGCTGGGGACCAGCTGCCTGAGGCCTTCCCGCAGGGCACCCTGCCCTCAGCTTGCTCCCCTGCTTCCATGGGTGGGATCTCACCAGACGGCTGCTCCCAGTCCCGACGTCTGGGAGGCCCGCGCGACAGAGGTGACGAAGGACAACGGCTCAGATCCTGACCACCTGGGCAGCAGCACACGGGCTCCGCCTCCCCTTGCCGCCGGCGGTCTGCCTCCTGAGATAGAGACGGCCGAAGGTGCCCCCCACCTGCCCTTTGGTGAGGCGCCCCGGGTTCACACAGACACAGCCGAGGATGTCCTGGAGGGGAGGAAAGAGCGACTATGGGTCTGGAAAGGCTGAAACCGTGGGCACGGATGTGAAGAAGTTGGACTCATCTCAGGGTTCAGCCCCAGAGGATGTTATAGAAACTGGAAACAAAGGCAAATGAAAACCATCTTCGGTCCAATATGTTAATTTATTACTAGAAAACTCTGAGTCCCTCTTGCGTCTCCAAAACAAAATAAAGAAGATGACTCGGCTAATTCCCAAAACGTGGAAACAAACTTGCTCTATTTGTTTCACAGCGTGAAAGAAGGTTTACCTCTGGAGGTTGCACTGGCTCTGGTTTGCCAAGAGGAGGTTGACGGGGTCGATTCCCTGCGAGGGCCCAAATCTGAACGTGCCCAAGAGCTGCTGGGAGCTCATCTCAGAGTTTGGAGAGGGGACAGGCAAGCCCAGGTCACCTGAGGTGGCCATGGGTGAGAACCGTGGTTCGAGGGCCTTCCTAGCTGCCTCTTGGGCTCCCAGGCTGGGCTGCCTGAGCACCATGCTGGGGGTAGGATGGGGTGGTGGTGGTGGGCAGCAAGAGCACATCACTTACTTAGGCATTATACTAACGGATTTGTTTTCCCCTCCCCCAAAGGAATGAGGCCACTGTCCCCACCAGCAGACCCGAGAAGAGTAAGTGCCGGGGGTCCAGAAAGGAGCTGGCTCTGGTGTTTCTGGGGAACAGCGGAATTCAAACCCACCTTCACAAAGTATCTCAGCTCTGATGGGGCTATGAAGACGTCGGGGGTGACGGGCAGCTGAGCGTAGAGGCGGAAGTTCTCGTAGTCGATGGCCACGTCCTCCTGGGGTGGGTACAGCGGGTAGTAGCTGCGGAGAGGAGAGAGTCAGCAGCAGCGGCCTTGGGAGCCCTCCCGACAGACTCCTCCTCTGCCGCTGGTTTCTATGCTGTCACACACTGCCTCTCCCTTCCCTCTGTGTTTGGGGGACAGAACAGGCCTGTCATGCCAGGAGGGAGCTCCCTGGTAGCGGCCTGGGGAAGGCTGTTGTTGTTCAGTCACTAAGTCGTGTCTGACTCTTTGTGACTCCATGGACTGTAGCAGGCCAGGCTTCCCTGTCCTTAACCATCTCCAGGAGTTTGGTCAAACTCATGTCAACTGAGTTGGTGATGCCACCCAACCCTCTTATTCTCTGTCGCCCCTTCTCCTTCTGCCCTCAATCTTTCCCAGCATCGGGGTCTTTTTCAGTGTGTTATCTCTTTGCATCAGGTGGCCAAAGGATTGGAGCTTCAGCTTCAGCATTAGTCTTTCCAATTAATATTCAGGGTTGATTTCCTCTAGGATTGACTGGTTTGATCTCCCTGCCGTCCATGAGGTTGCAAAGAGTTGGACATGACTGAGCAACTTTCACTTCCACTGGGGAAGGTTCTCGAAGTCAAATCTGTCCAAGCTCTGTGACTCCAAAGCACTCCCAGCACAGGCAGACACCCCACAGGGCGGGCTCACCTCCGCTGGGTCAGGATGTGCTTAAGGATTCGGCTGAACCGGTCTGAAGTTCCAGAAGAACTGCAGAAGGAAGAAAAGCAAGAAATGGAATGTGGAAACTTGTTTCTCGGCGCCTGTTTCTCTTCGGGGAGGATTTCTTAAATTAGAGAGAAGTGATGTGGCCAAGGTGTGTGACAGGAAGTTGCCTCTGGGGAAGTTTAAAGATGCATCTGTAATCAGCTCGGTCTGCTGAGCAGGACACTGGGTTGAGAAGGCGAGAAGCAGGAACCCCTTGTGATCAGGGCCCAGGAGGGCCATCATCAGCTCCACACCATGTGAGAGCACGTGGGGTCTGCTCCTCGAGGGGCCAGCTGTAGCCAGGTGACCCTTGCACCTCCAACCAGAGCCAACCTGCACACACCCATCTCGCCTAACACATGAATGGCTCCATGCTCCTTCCCATCATGGGTGATGGGAGAACTGAACCACCGAGCCTCGGTTCAACAGACCCAGTAGCATCTGATCCCCTGCAGAGCAGCGCCCTGTTCTGGGAGGGGGATACCCTCCAGAGTAAATACAGTCACTCCACGCGCAGGGACAGCTTGTTTAGGTCACACATATGGCAAAGGAAGCAAAGTAGATGAATGTCTATGACTAGAAATTAAGGGCAAAGATAGGATGGAAGGGGCCCTGCAGGGCCTCAAACACTGTAGATAGTGGTAACAGACACATGTGCATCCTGCCACCCCCTTTGGCTGCAGAGAAACTCAGTGGCCAAAGGGTTTGGCAGAAAGTGCTGCTCTAGGGACTGCCTGTTCAAGACTCTGCCCAGCAGGCCTTTGGCCAAGGACAGGACCAGGGTCCAGAGGGCCGGAAACTGCCCGTGGGACTGGAACCCCCTTCTCACCTACTGATCTCCTCGGCCCCCATGTGGAACAGCAGGTCGGTGGACGTCAAGCCAAAGATCACTCCATTTATGGAGAGGGTGCAGGGCTCGGACACGAGCTGCACTCGCTGGAACGAGAAGGGTGGGGCCGGCGTTAGCATGCTGAAGTTAGAAACTTATCCTCTGGGAAAATGGGGGGTCCACAAGGGCTGGGGAGACCACTGAAAGTTCAACACACAGTACATAACACATGTGCTTGTGATAAAGAGAAGCTGAGAATCAGGCCCTTCATCTCCCCACCCTGCACTTCCAGATGGAGCTGGGTGGTCACCGCCGGCACGTTGCATTCGGCTGCCTACTGTTAAGGAGGGGACGTGTGTACCTTTTTGTCCTCTCGAAGCAGGTCGGAGCAGCTGAAGGGAGGCTGTGGGTACACGGGCTCGTGGTGCACGTCTCTCAGTGACGGGACAAAGATGAGGTGGGAGCCGGAGCTGGTTTGCAAAGAAAAAAAAAACATGTCAGAAGAGGAAGGAAAATGAACACAGCTTGTAGCCGGGTGACAGATTCCAAGTGTCAGGGCCTTAGACAAGAGCCGGCTTCCGAGGGGAATGCTCAGAACGGAGCTCTTCCACGAGGAGGGGGTGCTGTTCCCCATGGGACACTGGGTGTGAGAGATGGTCTGTTCTATCACACGACCACCTCGAGGGCTCAGGACATGTTCCCGGCTCTGTGTCATGTTCTACTGAGAGAGGAAGAGGATGACCAGCAGAAAAAGGGAAGATGAGACAGAGCTCTAGAAAATCAGGAAAGACAAGGATGTGACTAGAAATCCTCAGAGCCTAGATGGCGCAGTAGTAAAGAATCTGCCTGCGATGCAGGAGACCTGGGTTGGGAAGATCTCTTGGAGAAGGGAATGGCAACCCACTCCAGTATTCTTGTCTGGAGAATTTCATGGACAGAGGAGCCTGAGGGGCTGAAGTCCATGGGTCTGCCGAGTCAGACACGGCTGAGAGACTGATACACCTTCACTTTCCTCAGAGCCAGAGCTGAGGCCGAAGTTCTGACTCTTCACACTGGGTGAACAGATGTGGCTTTTAGGTGTCCTGTTGCCTCCCTGACTGGGGGCTCTTCCTTCGGGAGGGACCAGGCAGGCAGAGCGGATCTGGGAGCGGGAGACATGGTGGGTTCTCCCAGGGCCCACACTGCTCCCCCACCCCAGCCCCTCCGCCTCACACAGGGAATCAGTGCTGGTTTTTATTCCTCAGCCGACTGTCTGACAAACGTGAAAGAAATCTCTGACAGCAACGGTTAAAGCAGAGAAGACAGATCTTTCCTCTGGTGGAGGGTTATAACACAGAAGTGAGGAAAAACCCTGTAACTCTAGGGGCTGTCGCTTTATCCCCTCTAGCCACACAAGAGAAGAAAAGGGAAAAAAACCATCTCCTTGATTCCCTCGCTGTCCTTGGCAGAGGGGCCTGTGGTGGAAGGTGTTATTTTGGAGGCATGTCTAACATCCACTGGGCTTCTCTGGTGCTCAGTGGTAAAGAATCCACTTGCCAAGCAGGAGATTCGGGGCCGATCCCTGTGCATGCTCAGTTGCTCAGTCGAGTCTGACTCTTTGTGCCCCCGTGGACTGTAGCTCACCAGTTTCCTCTGTCTATGGGATTCCCAGGCAAGAATACTAGAGCGGGTTGCCATTTCCTATTCCAGGGGATCTTCCCCACCCAGGGACTGAACCTGTTTCTCTTGCGTCTCCAGTATTCTTGCCTGGGGAATCCCATGGACAGAGGAGCTCGGAGGCTACAATCCATGGGATCACAAGGGTCATTAACGACTTAGCCACTAAACAACAAACAACATCCACCACTAGCTCTCACTTCTAGCGCTCTCTCTTGCTTAAGATGAGATGGCTTCCCAAAGGTGGGTACAGGCAGGTACCCACCTGTGCAGGTATAGTGACATGGCTGCCTCTCAAGCGGGATAAAGGTGCTGGTGATGTTCATACATGTGCCACTTGTTTATTGTGCCTGCTCAAAGTGTGAGCCGACACTTCTGCAGTGGAAAATCTGAACCTTGAGACCAAGGGTACTCTGCAAAGTAGTTACTGTTCCTTTGCCACTGAAAAGTTCCCTGTGATTATCCAAGACTACCAATTTGGGCACTGAAGCCTGGCAAATGGGCCGGGGGGTGGCCTGTAGGGGAGTGTGTGTTCCAGACCCCCGGGGCTCCGTCTGTGACGGTGCAGCTGGCAGTGGCTAAGACGTGGCCTTGCTCTGTTTCCTCGTGGGAGCTGGCAGAGCAACAGTTAAGGAGGAAACGGGCCTCCTGCTCTGGGTTATACATGGGTTGTAGGGGGAGGGATCCGAGAGAAAATTCCAACTATGCTGAGCATTGCACAACTTCATACATCATGGTGGGCCGGGCCTCGCGGCCGCTCCCTCAAGCTCCGGGGCTCCCGGGAGGGAGGTGGCGCTTCCTCATGGGCTCTGGTTTTCACTGATAAATGGGCTCAATGCTCTGCGCTGCTGACCTCTCAGAGTAAAAATAAATCCCCCCCAAAGAGGGCCATTTTTATACTGTTTGGGGAGGGTGGGCAGCCCCTCTTCCCGAGGCGCACTCTGGCTGCAGATGAAAGTGCCTGGTGGTGCTGGGAGCTCACCCCCAGGGCAACAATGCCCGGTCTGTTCTTTGTTTGTGGTACTGCTGTCAATACCACATGGGGTGAGGAACCAAAAACAGAACCCCATCTCAAATGGAAAGCACCCGGCTGGCGTGCGGGGCGGTCCCCGCCTATCCCGGAGGGGACCCGAGGGCTGACAAAACAGGGACACCAGGCCTGCCCCTGGTTTTCAGGGATTTATCTCCTGAGGAGCCTTCAGGTCTGACAAACTCATTCAGGGTCCCAACAACCCTGGGGGAGCAGAGGGAAGACACCTGTCGCGTCACTTGGAGTGGGGTAGGGAGAAAGGAGCGGCAGGCCCAGCTGCAGGCTGTCACACCGCACGATCCGAGCCCGCCGACTCTGGCGTCGGTAGGGGTTTTCCCCCAGTCCGAAAGACCTACCCTACTGGGATGAGAAGGTAGAATGACAGCTAATCGTTGCTGGGATCAGTTCTCACCGCCAAGGGCGGAAGACTATACATCTTGTTTCAAAAACCACCCTTGTTCCAGACGTATTTTACACTGAGCCTCAGGAATGTTTGTTTTCAATGAGCTCAGCTCCTGGCAGGCAGATCCCCGGAGGAGGAGATCCACCACCAAGAGCAGCTTCTCTCGAACCCAGGCACTGGAGGGAAGCAACAGGAAATGGGGGTGTCGGCTTCCAGAAAAACTTTCTACTTCTGGCTTAGGCTCTTCCTGGAATAGCGGCTTTTCTCTCAAATTAGAACTGCCCAGCCCTCATCACCGCTGTGACCTTTCCCAGTCCCATCCCTCCAGTCCGTGGCAAGGATTCAAAATCCCACCCTCATGCGTCCCCACCCACGTGCGAGCCGTCGCGGGGTGCCCGTGAAACCAGGGAAGCACTGACTCGGGGAAGGACTTGGCCTCCCCCCCAACTCTCACTCACAGGAGATGTCAGGCTGTAAGCCATCAAACACTCCCCAGCCCCACCCTGGGAAGATTCCCAGGGAACAGGAATTTCTACAAAAGGGAGTGAGAAAAGGAAGGAAGTAGAGAAAGAGCCAGGGAAGAGTGAAAGTTTGGGCAGCCTTGTCCTTTCAAGTGCGTTTATCTTTGTGTTTTACAAAGAGGCCTCTTCACTCAGGGTCGGCGCCTGAAGGTCAAGGGTTCTAGCTGATCTCTGCAGTTCAAAAGGATATAAGGGTGGGAACTACCATGACTTTTGAACGGTTTCAGTTTCTTAACGGGGAACCCTGGAGAAACTCAGGAAATGTAAGGTTCTGCCCAGTGTTTTGAATGCTGACCTTCGTGTTCCTTCAATAATTGTTCGGAGACATTGCTTGAAAACATCTTCAAATGAGCTTGTCAGCAGACAGCTCTGCAAGAAAAGAAAGGAGATTTACAAGGTGAATGTTTGGTGTCTGTTCACTTGTTTATGATGCTGGTTAGATGACCCTGGGGGCAGATGCTGGGTGAGGAGCTGAAGGAGATGCAAAGATACCCAAGACAAGGGTCTCCGTCCTTTTGAGAGCTGAGTCTAGTTGGGAGCAGGCAAGGAGGTCGGGGAAGAATCAGTCCTGAAAGTGAGCCGAGATAAGTAGGAAGAAAAGAGCTTTGAAGCCTTTGCTGTGGCTGGTTAACCTCCTGAGAGGGCTTCCCTGCTGGCTCAGCGGTAAAGAATTCATCTGCCAGTGCAGGAGACACAGGTTAAATCCTAGGTCTGGGAAGATTCCACATGCTGAGGAGCAGCTGAGCCCGTCTGCCACAACTACTGAGCCTGTGCTTCTAGAGTCAACAACCGAGCCCATGTGCTGCAACCACTGAAGCCTGCAGGCCCAGGGCCCGTGCTCCACAACAAGAGGAGCCACGGCAATGAGACGCCTGCACACCGAAACTGAAGAGTAGCCCCTGCTTGCCCCAACTAAAGAAAAGGTCGCACTGCAACGAAGACCCCGCAGTCGAAAATTAAAAAAACGAAACAAAAAAACCCCTCCTGAGACAAAAGGAGGCGCTGTCTCCAGAAGGGCCATTTGTGTTTTAAGTTCAAAGGACAGACACTCAGGGCCCGAGCTGTCGCAGCCGGGAAGGGGCTTTCACAGGCACAGCTCCAGGACCATGGGCACCTCCCCCACCCTCCTACACCAGGGGGACCAGGACTCAGATATTTGGATCCCCTCCCGCACCCACCCCAGCTTCCAGATGGCTCTGTATTCTGGTGAAATGAAGCCCTCCCATTCCGTACCTTTATTAAACTTGCCCTGCAATAATGTTTTTCTGATCAGCCACAGGGATTCATTTAGGCTGTTATAGAAGCAGGATAAACTCCAATAGGTGAAAGTAACAGGCCTTGACTGAATGCGAATATTCAGTCTCTCCCTGACTCCAGTCCCAGCCACTTACCTCAACCTGTTCATGCTTAGCATCCAGGAAAGGTCCAAACTGCAGATCAGCCCGAAGCGGAGAAACGAAGGTACCAAAAGAACACATCAGAATTGCACGTGCCTCTGAGCACCCTCACATACCCGATCCTAGCAGTTCTCTGCCCAGGGTCCATCTCTCCCTCCAAGGCTGCCTGTATAGCTGGGGACAGGGGGCAGGTGGGTGGGGGTGGGATGGTGCCCAGCCAATATCACAGGCAGAAGGACACAACCTCCTGGATGGAGAGGCCTACTGGGCCCGTCACTAGCTGCTTTGCCTCCTATAATACTGGGCTTTTGTTCCCCCTTCAACCCAGCAAGGGCAATCTACCTCTATGAAGCAGTACTCTGAGCTTTCAAAAGAGATGAGTTCACAAATGGGAGTAATTAGATAAGAGGTGAAATACTGAAAAATCAATGCAGGTGGCAAAACACCTTGGGCTTTTTTATTAAGACCACGCACACAAAGGGACCTCCCTGGTGGGCCAGTGGCTAAGACTGCTCCCAATGCAAGGGGCCCGAGTTCTATCCCTGTCAGGGAACCAGGTCTCACACGCCACAGCTAAAGATCTTGCATGCTGCAACAAAGATCAAAGACCCCATGCACCACAACTAAGACCTGATGCAGCCAAATAAATAAATATTAAAACAAACAAAAACCACACACACCTCACCAAAGATGGAGACCAAGAACTCAAAAATACTTTTAAGGAGGAAGAGAGTTTGACACTCTTCCTAAAAATTTAGAACCTCATCAGACCTTTTTCCAAGATTACCCCCCACCCCCACCCTGTTCTCCCTTTGGTGCCTCCCTAGGTGAACTGTCCCCCTTGGAAGGGCCCTACCAGGATGCAGACGTCCGGTCGGTCGCGGTTGATGATGGTGATCAGGTCGAGCAGGGGGTCAAAGGTGATGCTGTCAGATGTGGTGTACGGCCCACAGGCCACCAGGACCATGAACTGCTCAGAATCTAAGCCAGAAAGGATTGTTAAGGTGTTGATGAGAAGCTGCTGGGATGGCGGGAGAAAGGACAATGAGGGCAGGATGCCTCAGGACTCAGTTAAGAGTCTCACCTGTGCAACTCTGGGAATCTAAAGGAATAAGACCTCACCCTGCCCTCAAAGAGCCCTCCACGAGCTGCACAGACAGGCAAGTGTGCAAGCAACCAGAACTCCAGAGACATTTACCAGCAGTGCGTGGACGATGGGAGGAAAGTGGGAGTCACGAGAGAATTGATCAAAGTGGCATTTGCTTACATGGTTTTCCTCTTAACTTCTTTTTTCGGTGGTAAAATACATATAACACAAAACTCAACTTTTTTTGGGGGGGGGTGGCTGGGCAGTGCTGTGTGGTTTTAGGGATCTTAGTTTCCTGACCAGGGATTGAACCTGTGCCCTCAGCAGTGAAAACTCGGAGTCTAACCATTGGACCACCAGGGAAATTCCTCCTGATCATAACCATGTTTAAATCAACATTTCAGTGGTATTAGATATATCCATAATGTTGTGCAGCTGTCATCACCTTCCATCTCCACCTCTTTCCATCTCATAAAACTGAAACTCCGTACCCCTTAAACACTAACTCCCTGCTCCCCCTCCCACAGTCCCTGGCAACCACCTCTATTCTGATGCCTCTAGGAACCTCATCTAAGGAGAATCATATGGTATTTGTCTTTTTGTCACTTTGCTTACACTTGAGGGTAGAGTTTTTCAGGAGCCAGGGGAAGGCGGGGTCCCCAACAGCACTGAGGTTTGAGAGCTCAGTGGGAGGGATCATCAGTAGTGAGAGCAGCTGGAGAATTTGGTACATCTAGGGGTCCAGGAAGACAGGCTGGGGGCAAGGCTTGGGACGGGAGACTCTCGTGTTATGGGGTGCAGGGCCTTGTATGGGGTGCCATTTTCCTCAAAGCATCTGCTTCCCTTTTGGAGAATCAGCCTTGGCGTCCATAAGGTCCCCTCCCCCTCTGCCTTATGGAGATGTAAATTAGGTGCACCTTCCTCCCCAGCCAAAGAGCAGGCTCTGACCGGCTTAAGCCATTCACTCTCTCCCCTGGATTCCAGAATCTCAAGGTGAACTATCCAAGGACAGAAAAAAGACTGGCGCTGACCCATCCAGCTGAGGTGCCTGGTCAATACAGCCCAGGACTCTTTGCTACCTGGACACCTGGCGTTACTGAGCCGTGATCCGGGCTATAAGCCTTTTCCAGCCACTTGTCCAGTCTGTGTGCTACCTGAATTTCCCCTAACAAATTTCTCTTAAGTTAGTTTGAACCAGGTTCTGTAGCTTACAACAACAAATCCAATGATCCTTGACTTCTTAACAGGCAGCTTTATTAGCCTCCTATGGTTTTGATAACAATCACAAACTTGGTGGCTTTTAAAACAATATGCACTTATTATCTTACAGTCCAAGAGGTCGGAGGTCCTAAAATCAAGGTGTGGGCAGGGCAGCATTCCTTCTGGAGGCTCTGGGAAGAATCATTTCCTGGCCCCTTCCAGCTTCCTGAGGCCTTCTGCATCCTTGGCCCTGGGCCCCTCCTCCACCTTCAAAGCCAGAACCTGACCCGCTTGATCTCTGTGACCCGCCCCCTACCGCCCTTCCTTATAAGGACCCTTGCATTACCCTGAGCCCACCTAGACAATCCCTATCTCCAGAGCCTTAACTCGGTCACACCTGCAAAGTCCCTTTTGCCATATAAAGTAATATGTTCAGGAATATATTCCAGAATGAGGGCCACTGTTTGTCGAGCGTGCAGTGACTGAACTGAGAGAGAATTCAAGGAGGAGAGTAATACCGGTGCTGTGAAGAGGGGAGGGGACGCCGGCCCCAGGTAAATGGTGAGTGCCTGGGGGCCAGGTCCATGTTGTATTCTGTGTCTCCACACCCAGGTGTTGAGCCCAACACCTTGCTCACAAAATGTCTATTAACAACTTTTTCAGGGACTTCCAGCAGTTAAGATTCTGCACTCCCAGTGCAGGAAGTCCAGGTTCGATCCCTGGTCAGGGAACTAGAGTTTGCATGCCACAATGCAGACCCAATGGAGCCAAATAAATAAATAAAAATAACTATTAACAAAATAAAACCAACTTATTCAATTGCTTCCAAAGATTCCCCTGGCACAGCTCCAGCTCCGGGCAGTTCAGCCCTGTCTGTTCCCTTTGTTACCTGAACTTGATTCAATACCAGCACTCTAGCTTCCATAAACACTTACTTCCTGAGAGAATGTGCAATGTCATAAACTCCTAAATTTTGCTCCCAATTCCAGGCCGCCTCTAAGAATGACCTCACACAATATTAACGTGGAGGGGATGTTGACAATACAGCTAGCATTAGCTATCTCCCTGCTAATCCTCAACAGTCTACTGCTCTGCTTACAAAAATGCTTGGAATTGTTCTGAAGCCAAGTTTACTGAAATGTTCATCTTTTCTCATCTAGGTTAGCTACCAAGTAACTCTAGGCTTCCTGAGAAATGTGTCTAATTTTTAAATAGTTTTTTTTTGTAATAACTTTAGAATTGTAGAAATGTCCCAAACAGAGTCCAGAGTTCCGGTGTGTACACCTTTCACCCAGCAACCGCTAATGCTAACATCTTACATAACTAGGGTACATTCATCAAAACGAAGGAATTAATACTGGTATGTTACTGTTAGCTCATGACTTTATTTAAATGTCACTGGTTTTTCCACTAATGTCCCCTTTCCTTGTCCAGGATATCACATGGCATTTAAAGGAATTTTTTTTTAAATTGGTGCTCTTTACCCTTTTCTTTTTTTTCCTTTTCTTCCCCCTTCCTTTTCTTTTTTTGGCCACATGGCATACAAGATCTTTCCCAACCAGGAATGGAACCTGTGCCCCTGCATTGGGAGCTTGGGGTCCTAACCACTGGATGGCCAGGGAATTCCACTGTTTTTTTTTCTTTTTCAAAGCAACCTTCAAACACCTGTTAAACATTAGTCTTGAAATGACAGCTCTTGTGGAATCAGAGCACAGGAAGTAAGGCTGACCAAGCCACATATGCTCAGACCCCTGGCCTTCCACAAAGGGCCGGTGAACCCATGAATCTGTGGTCGCCCTTGGAGCTCCAGAACGGTGCTCTCACAGCTTCTGAAGCCTTCCCAGGGCCAGAGGAACTGTGTTCCAGACCCTGGCCCACTCCTCTCCACCCGTACTGTTGGCAAAATACCCTCGGAAGTCTAGCTCACCTCCATCCTCTTCATCGGGCTGATGGAACGGAAGTGGCACACCCTTCAAACAGGAGAGAAAACTGTGGTGAGGTCTTGCCCCAGGCACCGCCTCTGGTCAGGAACGGGGTGGGCACTAAATGGGGGCATGTTTGTGGGTGTCTTGCTCCTTGGAGCTAAAAGCCCACAGAGTTGATGAAAGTGAAAGTTGCTCAGTCGTGTCTGACTCTGAGACCCCATGGACTACAAAGTCCATGGAATTCTCCAGGCCTGAATACTAGAGTGGGTAGCCTTTCCCTTCTCTAGGGGATCTTCCCAACCCAGGGATTGAACCCAGGTATCCAGCACTGCAGGTGGATTCTTTATGAGCCACCAGTCAAGTCCAAGAATACTAGAATGGGTAGCCTATCCCTTCTCCAGTGGATCTTCCCGACCCAGGCATTGAACCGGGGTCTCCTGCATTGCAAGTGGACTCTTTACCAAGCTGTGCTACCAGGTAAGACCACAGCGTTGATGACCCTTCCCTTTTTCTTTACTGCTCAGAGTGGGCAAGACACCTGGTAGCATGAGGTTACGGCTAAACTCAAAAAAACATCCAGGAAAGAGCAGGAGCAAAACGGGTCGGTGTCCTGCCTGGGAGGACAGGTGCTGCTACTTCTTCCGTGTCCCCTGGAAGCCTGCAGAGGATTACTGCAGGAGCAGGGGCTGCTGAGCTACGGGTGAATCTGGCCACCGCCTATTGCTGTAAGTAAACTTTCACTGGCACAGCCATGTCTTTGGATAATGGGCTGATCGTGGCTGCTTTTGTGCTTCGATGGCAGAGTCGACACTGTGTGAAGACCAGGTCTGTGGAGTCTGGAATATGTATTGTCTGGCCCTTTAGGGGAGCAGTTTGCTAAGCCCTGACCTAGAGGTAGGTCGTACTCTACAGAGAATTGAGAAGCGAATCAACAGGCCCTTACAGAGGACGAGTTTCAGGATGGACAGAAGCCCACACACTGTACCTCGTAGAGTCTGGTGGCAACAAGTTTTCTACCTGTGGTGTTGATTCCTTCCACGACCACCACCTGAAAGGCAGGCAGCAGACAGACTTGATCAACAGGAGGTCTGGAATAAGTTACTGTGACAGAGTTACAAGCACTGTCCAGCTACTCTCATCCTGTAATTGTAAACTTGGGGGTGTTTTTCTAGAAAACAAAGGAAGGGGGTTATATTAGTGTAATAATAATTATGTTTACACGGTAATCTCATTTTTACAACATTCCTATAAGGTGAGAATTATCATCCCCATTTCACAGATCAGGACACTCTGGGTTTGGGAGGTTAAGTAACATCGCCATACTCATCTGCTCTGCAGGGTGGAGCTGGGGTCGAAACCTAGCCGCGGATCCCAGAGCTAAGGTCGGAGCACACAGGGGATCGGAACCCCCATACTGGCATCTGCTCTGGTGCCTGAGCTCCAGTTACACCTCTTGGCATCAGAGGTCAAAAGCACAGGGCAGTTGGCCACAGCCCACTACACACACCAGGAGCAAATAGCATAGCCGCACCCAGAGGCAAGTCACACCCCTGATCTCACCTGTCCAGGAAATAGAGAATATTCTTTGAGCTCAGATAGATCCACTGGAATCTGAGCGCCTGAGGAATGTTCCAGATCTCCCTCCAGAATCACCGACTTGTGGTTCAGCTTCCCGTTGCTGTCACAGCCGATCTGGCCCAGCAGGGTGACAGGCTCCTACCGAGATACACAGGAGAACAACAGTCTTTGGGACACAGGAGCTTAAAATTTGGTCCGCGCAACGGAGAGCAAAACAGGCCTCCAACAACAGCACACGTGTCTTTGGTGGGGCATCACTTTGAGCCCGAGGTGACCACTAGGCTCCTAGGGGTGTATCATCACTGGCTCCCAGGGCTGAAAGGACCCTGAAAGGGCATCTAGCCTGCCCACCATCTAATGCCTCAGCCCCTCTAAGTGGCTGAGCCACAGCATCTCCAGTGAAGGGGAACTTGCCCCTGAGCCCATCCCCTCGCCACCAGCCCACTTACCACATCTCTCTCTCTCTTTTTTTAAGTTCTACCAGTTTATTGCTACCAACCCATCCATCTCCCTCCACCTTCCTCATGCATGCGTGCTCAGTCATGTAAACCCATGGACTGCAGCCCGCCAGGCTCCTCCATCCATGGGCTTTTCCAGGCAAGAATACTGGAGTGGGTTGCCATTTCCTTCTTCACATATCTCCTGAATAACTGTTAACAACAGCTCTGGTTTACTGGGCTCACTAAATACCAGGCACTGTTCTAAAGGCTTATGTGTATCAACTCACTTAATTCTCACAAAAACCGTGAGGTGGATATTATTATTGCATCCATGTTAGAGATGAGAAAAACCAGGAACAGAAAGGTTAGATAATTTAACCAAGGTCAAACAGTGGGCAAAGTGTGGGTTTGAAGGCCAGATGTTTGGCTCCAGGGCCATATCCTTTAAACACTCACCATACCGCCTTGTAACAGGAAGTTCTTCATTAAACTGGGCTGAAATTCCTCTCTCGGTGGCTTCCTCTATCCTGTTCTCACTCCCAGGGGCAAACCGAGGAAGTCTAATCTTTCCCCATGAGATCCTATAACCCAGTCTCCCCTCCACTACTTCCTCCCAACTCCCCCGAATCTTCCTTATATGACATGGCTTTGCATATCTTCGCCAGCTGGCCATTCTCCTCTGAATGCAAATATGTGACAGAGGCACCGTAAAGAAACTCTGAGAACACATCTCCCCTTCAAGTACATTCTAGAGAGAAAGCACCATACACATGCCAGATTAAACTATTGACGTGGACACTATTCACAGCACTTGATCCCTGATGACAGAGACCAAAGAAGGGGAGAGACCATGAGTCACTGTTTCTGGAAATCTTCACCTTGCTGTTGTTCTCATATCCTGACACTTGAATGCTTAAGGCCCTCAATCTTGTTCACATGCAAGACTGTAACCCAAGTGCAAAGAAAACGACTTAATCTGGTCACAAAACCAGAAAGCACTTATAACCCATTTTACCAAGTTCATCCAAGATAGTTCATCTAACTAGAAGGTAGACAGTTAGTGAAAGGAAGCAGGAGGTTGACTTTTCATCATTGATTTAAAAAAACAATATCAATCAGGAAAGACTATTAGAACAACTCTTACCTGTGCTGGGACTAGAGTGGGAGCAAAAGCCTCAATCTTGTAATGTTCCTTGAGTTCACTGCCAAGTTCTTCTATCTTACAGGTCAGAACTGAAAACCCAGAGGGGAAAAGCATGTTTAAGACATTCTACTTGCCAAGCAGAGAAAACACATCACCTTGTAAAACATTAGTTAGTCATTTTATAGAAGCAGGCAGGGTGCCCAGGACACCGGCCAGTTGGTAACTTTCTCAAGCCCGAGCCAATTGCCCAATATTTGGTTGCTGAACCCGGCCTTCCATTTGGCCATGGCAGGGGGAGGGAGGGGGTCACGGATGAGGTCACAGTCCCAAAGTCGGCCTGGCTCCCTCCCCAGCCTCCCCCTTACTCAGGTGGTCAGTGGGGTTTCAGGGAAGCCAAGAACAACCTGAAGAGCCTTCTAGTCTTTCCAAGGAAGAAGCCATAAATGTCTCCGCTTCCTTTAACACTATAATTGGCTTCCTTTATACAGTTCAAGTGGTTGTTACTGGGAAATGGTTATGTGCTTTTTCTTAGCAAAGTGATTGTGATTTGGGAGAATTATTGAGAGTGGTCATCTCATATCCGTTTCCTAATAGGGGTGCCCAGACAACATCTATCAATCAAAGGCAACCTTGAACTTGTTCTACCAGCCTAGCTGACGCTTTGTTACTGATTCAAATCCTTCCAGGTGGTTTTACACCCTCCAGAATGTCAAAGGGAAAAACAAATACCTTCTCGAATGTCTGGGAGCTTCTGAAACATGCATTTGTAGCTCCCGGTGAGCGGCTCTGGATGTCCCAAGACCTTCAGGCTGAGGTGACTAGTTCCTCCTCTCCCGGACCAAGATACCCCCTGCGCCGAGCCAAAGGAGGTGACCACTTCTCCCCGGTTACTTCTCGAGCTGTATTTCTGAGGGGGAGTAGCACTGATTGGAAGCAAAAGACACCAACATTACCGCATTCATATCTAAAAAGAGAGGGGAGTCTAAGATGAGGTTACCTCTTGAAAATTTGGGATTGGAGGCATGCCAGCCTGGCCTCACATTTTATAAATCTAATCAGCTTAATGGGGTTGGACATTCTGGACCTTTAAGGAATTTCAGGAATGAGGGGGGTGTTGAGGAATACCAAACGTGTTTAGAAAAGCTTAGACACAGAGACACAGTTTAAAAGGTCTTCTCCTGGATGAAAACTAACAAGTGAAACAAAATCCAAACTCTGAATTGATTAAAGAGCCAGTTTCGAGTACCATTTTCTTTCTTATGAATTCTTAGCATTTGTTAGAATATTATCAAAGCCTGGAAATGTGGATAAGCCAAAAGTTGCTCTGTGTACACATAACACCTCATGATATAGTTCAAGGTAGAAACAGTAACAAAATGAAGTTAAATGAAAGGGAATCAACTTTCCCCAGTGTTTCTGGAGGTGGACAGGTAATGAATTCTGTCAGCTAGTGAACAAACACTCCCATTCTCCAAGTCTCAACCAGCAAGTTCTCGTATTTCTCCTCACTCGCTGATAAATTCCACCTCCAGGGACACACGAGTGTGGCTGATCTGCTTAGAGGACAGCGAGGTCTTCTAAGCCTTTGGTTGTGAGCACAGTGCACCGAGAGGCCTGGTTACCACAGGCTTCATTTAACGCCTTGAAACCCTGCAGGAACCAGTTCTCTGTGGGCAGTTACAGTGGGTGCTGCCAGGTCCTCCCTTCCAGAGAGGCTACAGAAAACGAGTTTGACTAATTACCTCTGTCTCCAGTGCTGCCTCCACCTGAATAATTTAGAAGTTACTTTCATAAATTATGAACCCAGTTTCTGATGTCAGCTTTACTAGTGTGCATTAAAGAATGACTAGGCAGCGCATCTCGACTGCGCCAAGCTCCTCCCTGCGAAGCTCTGTGAGGCGCACATTATAGCCGGTCCTTTAACCCAGGGAGCTGCTCACATGGGGTCCATTGCAAACAGATCTACAAGTTTCAAAGTCTTGCTTGTTGAAAGAATAGAACTGCTGCCATGGTGCTGGCACCTACGAGAACCACTCTGTAACCAACCATCTCTGTGCATCCAAAGATGCCCTTCTAAATCTAGAAAGTTCTATTCGGAAGCCAGGGTGAAAACTCCTGAAAGCATGAGTGGGCCACACTAAAGTCAAATCTGCCCTCGGGATCCAACTACCTTTCAGGGGACTTCCTTGGTGGTCCAGGGCCTAAGACTGTGCTCCCAATGCGGGGGGCCCAGAGTTCAACCTCTGGTCGGGGAACTAGATCCTGTAGGCTGCAACCAAGAGCCCACATGCCACAACTAAAGATTCCACGTGCCACAACTAAGACTAGGCAGAGCCAAATAAATTTTAAAAAATATTAAGGAAAAAAAGAAGAATCTGACCCCCTCTGATCTTGAAAAATGTTATCGCTCCCTTTCTTTTTTTTCTTTTGTGTTTTCTGGCCCTGCCAAGTGGCTTGTGGGATCTTAGTTCCCTGACAGGAATCAAACCTGGGACTACGGCAGTGAAAGTGCCAAGTTCTAACCACTAGACTCCCAGGGATGTCCCTATCACCTCCTTTCTGATGTGACAGAAAGTCTTAGGCTGGCAAGTCTTAAGTTCTGCTTGTTCTAGAAGTGACTCCCGGCAGCCAGTGTCGCCCTAACTGGTGAACATCACTGTTCCTTTGCCCCATCCCGATGCGGCAGCACCTAAAGCCCTTTCTTCTCCTCAGCAGCTCTCACTACAGAATTCTCTCACAGAACACATGTCATTTATGGATTTCCAAAAGTCACACGTGATCCCTGTGGATTTATGTGCAGAAGTGGCAGCAGGGATAAAATACCAATGAAGTTGGGGTAGGTTCAGGGACAAGAAAACTCTCAGCAACTAGTTGTAACCTGAGTGAGGAACAAAGAACAGGTTACGCAACATTATGAACAAAGATATGGGCTTTTCTTTTTTAAAAATAAATACCTAAAAAAAAGAAGAAAGAAAGAAACCCAACAACACATGAACTAACAGAAGCAAGTGGAAACCTATTTGCCTCCTACTGGCAAGAGACTCGCAGGCCTCCGAGACTTCTGAATAGACAGGTTGTTTTCAGTAGGAGATATCAGCTCCTGATCTAGGAAATGAGCCCCAGAAAAGAGGGTGGAAAGTGAGTTTCCTTAACTACCGTTAAACAGTAATTTTCCACACAGGATGAGGGTGGGGAAGGTAGGGAGCAGTCAGCCTTCCAGCCAGTCGATTGCAGAGGGAAACATCCACGCCTATTCCTTAAGTCAGGTTGTAGTGTCGGCCTCCACCAGGTAACCAGAGAGGGGAGGGGAGGCCTGCTGCCTGGCAGCTGAGTCATCAGGATCCATACCTTGGAGAGAAACTCGACGGTGAGAGGAGCTGATGGGGGCTCCGAGCAGACACACTCCTTTTTGTGAGGGGGGTTTCTGGGGTGGTGACAGTTCGCTTCTGAGAACCCTAGAAGCAAAACAGGAGAAGGGCCCAGTCACTCTAGACCCAGGGCTTGCTAGTGAAGTGTGCAGATCCTTAGGAAGAAAGGGAGGATGTGCCCGAATGAAGGGCACAGACCGCATAGAGCTGGTTTTCTTCTGAAGGCCCCATCTTTCAAGCAGAATCTCAGACTTCAGCAATTGTAATACAGTCCTCATCAGTACACTGTCTCCATTTTGGAGGCAACTATGAAAAAAATGCCAACAACACCCCCCGAAAGGACTGCCAAGTAGGCGATCTGTCCTGTCAAATTGCTCGTGTGTTCACTTTCCTTCTCTACCCCTCTGCTTTACCGCAGCTGAGAGTTTGGCTACACACACAGTTTTAACCTGCACTGACACATTTTCCTGTCAGGGGATGGGACCATGTTACGATTTATTCTGGCAAAGGCTACCACACATTTTCAGAATTAAAGAAGGGAGTGACTCCAGGCAGATAACACGGGTGAGCTCATACTTGGAGAGTAGCACACGCCTCGCTGATGGTCAGTTTTGTTTTCTGGGTGGTTTTGCTCATCAACAAGAATCCAAAGAGATGCCTGGAGTGGAGGGTGAAACCGGCAAATCCCGAGATCCCTTGCTCCCCAGAGTCTGGGACAACGGACTATGGCTGAGCAAAGACAAAATCCTCGGCTGGAGGGAAACCAGGCAGCCAGCGAGTTGGCTGGCGTTCCCCTGCCCTTGGGCTCCTCCTGGCTGCGGGTTTAGGTTATGGCACCAAAGCTGCCTACAGGGATGATTACGGACAGGCAAGGAGAGAGAAAGCAGGATTCGAAACCACCCTTAAGCGGCTGGAATGGAAGCTAGATTTTAAAAGGACCCTTCCTTATGCACTACACTTATACAATAGTCATTTAAAAATACTGCTTTCTAGTATTTCAATATTTTTCCAATTGAAAAAATTCTAATAGTTATAATCTTAGTTTGAATATGATCCTTCATTGAAGTATTGTAAATACTGAGTTTTTTGCTCTATATTAATTCTGAGCATTTCTCCCACATTGTCAGTCTTCATCCTTTCTGGTAGCTGTGTTGATGGAATTGGTATATAATAGTTTACGTAACTACTTCTCTATTGTTGGGTGTATCGGTTTCTGGAGACAACAAATACTGAGGTGCTCACTATCACACACGTAGCTTTTCCTGGAATTTGGATGATTTCTTATGAGAGATTCTTAGGAGAGATTACTGGGCCAAACGATGGCAAAAATTTTATGATTTTAATAGGTTTTTCTCAAACTATTTTTCCTGAAGACCCTTCTAATATATAGGGGGCTACAGAGCTCCAGGTTCATCTCCCAGGATGAAGCAAAGAGCTCAATCCTTAGCCACGTGGTGAAACCTGATTGTGTCAGCAAACCAGCTTGAGACGTTCCTGGGGTTTGCTCACTTGAAGCAAGCTCAGGAGACTCACTGCTAACACTATGGGCCGGTTTATCCACCCATAATGAGAAATACAGAGGGACTACAGTCTCATACCCTGGGGGGAACACATCCTCACAGCACACAGGAACCCAAATTATAGCCAGATTATTCACTTATTAGAAACGTGATGCCAGCAGCACGGGAACTTCAAATCCCCAGACTGACACATCTCTCCCTGTCAGGCAGGACACGTGGAGAGCCAGACTACAACCAGAAGGTTTATGGTGAGCATAGGGGTGAAAGAGTAGCTGGTGGGACTTCCCTGGTGGTCCAGTGCTAAGACTCTGCACTCCCAATGGAGGGGAGCCTGGGTTCAATCCCTGGTCAGGGAACTAGATCCTACATGCTGCAGCTAAGAACAGGCAGTCAAAGAAATAAATAAATATTTAAAAATAAAAAAAGAGTAGTTGTCATTGTACAAGTTAAATATTTAATGGTGACAAGCTAAGACCACTGACATACTCACCTCTGCAACATGGGCTCTCCTGCCCCTGGCACCGGTTTGGGTGGGAAAGGCCAGCCCTGGGCTCTGATCCTGTCACCGTGCTGCGCTGATGCCCGAGTTCCCACGTGCTGGGCACTGTCTAAGCCTTTTTCCTGTTTCTACCCCAGATCCAGTCTGCCTCTCCTCTGAGCTTCAGATGCATATTTCAAATTGTTCATTCATTTCAGCTCATCTCTTAGCTATGATTTCATGGCCAAACTTTGATCTGTGATTGAGCCTCCTGAGTACTTTTGTAGCAGGAATGGGGTGTCCTCAATAAGGTATTTCAGCCATAAGAAAGGTGTGTACTTCAACAGTAAATTAAGTAATGTGCATCTGATTTATGCGTCAGTCTACTGAGACCTGAGTTACCACGAGTCAGTCCTCTCAAATATGAACAACTCTGATGCTGTGAACATTTTAGCTTTCTTATTCTCCACAGACACATTTAAATGACTCACCTTTCCTTCCTTCTTTTTTTTGGGTGGGGGGCCATGCAGCGTGGCTTGTGGGACCTTAGTTCCCAGATCAGAGACTGAACCCAGGGCCCTGGCAGTGAGAGCACCGAGTTCTTGCCAGGGAATTCCCTAATCATCTTTTTTCTTACAGAGTAATTTACTTTGACAGATTAAGGCTTGCTCCTTGTTTGAGGATTGCCACAAATTCATTTTCTATAAAGACTAACTATGATTACCGAATACATTGCTTTGGGTTTGGCACTTTACATGTTCATTTAGTTTTCAAGCCCCTCAAGATATTATTCAAGATAGTATCATGGGGTATTATCTGCTGGCTATTGGCTTCTTGAGGGCAGAGCACAAGCTTGCCTGTTTCATTCACCAGTTCATCCAGTGTCTGGCACACAGTAGTTGCTCAGTAAGTGAATGAATGAACCCTGACTATGTAGGAGAGGAAATGGCAGCTCAGAGAGATAAAAGCAACTCACTCAAGGTCACTTAGGTCTTTGACTCAGGCTTTGAGGACAGTGCCTTTCCACTGCCCTACTCCACCTCTTACCCTTGGGTCCAACACCTAAACTGGATAAGCAATAGTTATAGTGCCTCTACTTGATACAAAACTAGACACCCATTAAAAAAGAGCAATTATGGAGAAATTACATTGATAAAAATTTTATGATATGCTAACTGAAGAAAGCAGGATAACTATGTGTCTACAAGGACTGCCATCATGTAAAATCATCTACGCACATGATTGGAAAGGAAGATGCATATGTGGAAATAGAGTAGGAACTGTATGAGTGGCTAATTTTCTCCTTCAGAACTTTAGATGCTGTGCTGATATTTTTAGAATAAAGAAAAAAAATGCTACGCATAGAATGCAATTTCCAAACAGGGTGCACGAACCTTAGAGGGTGTGGTGTAAGAGTTCAAGAGGGTCTCCTCTTCCTCTTCCTCTTCAATTCTAAAAACCTTGGTTAAGAGAAACAATAAACTTCCACCCAAAATCTAAGGCAAGGATTGACCAAATAAGAAATCTGAATATTAGGTATAGTACTTGTTTTTTTTTTTTTGAATTTGAGTTTGTTCTCATGTTTTTTTGTGGTTTTCAAAAAAATTACTTATTTATTTTTAAAAAATTTCTTTTTAGGCCATGTCATGTGGCATGCCAGATTTTAGTTTCCTGACCAGAGATGGAATCCATGTCCCCTGCATTGGGAACTCGGACCCAATGAACTTAACCACTGGACCACCAGGGAAATCCCTTATTACTTGTTCTTAACTTACACATGCAACTACAGACAAATGATAAAATACAATATGTAGTTTGATACAAGGGCCTGGAGCAGAAAAGGATACAGCTCTTGTATGGAAACAATGTCTCTGGCTCCTGCATGGCCGTGCACTTTGTCCTTGGAGGCACCATGCCGGGTTTTGGATAATCTTTTGCTCAGAAACTGAGGAAGAAAAGATAATGAATATATTACTCCACAGTCAAGTAATAGAGGACGGGTTTCCCACAGTCATGAAATAATACTGTGCATTTGAAATATAATCGAAGGTATAAAATTCCTCAAAGGAAGAATAAAGATGTACACGATAGACTAAAGACTTAAACTGTCACTGTTTCTCTCCAACACATAACAATTCTAATATTAACACCAATTATTTGCTGAAGAACTACCACCTGCTGAGCATAGTTTTAGGAGGGATTTACAGCCATTCTCAAATCATTCAACAACCATAAAAACCACGGATCACGGGAACCACTGACTGAAGAGGAAGCTGAGGTTAGGAGCCATTTAGGAGCTGGCCCAAGCTCATGCTGGGATTGGAATCCAGGTCTGATTCTAAGGCACACACTCCTCAATACAGTGCTCCGCCTTCTGGCAGAAGTTTACATTATTAGTTTGCCTACAGTTTCTTCTTACCTCGTGCTCAAAAGAGTTCAGGGTCTCCAAGGTAAGGCAGTCTTTACGTGTGCTGGTGCAGAAGGCTATAAGCTCGCTGGCCATTCCCTCTTCATTCTGTCCATACAGAATGCACAGTTCTACCACTGTAGGGGGAAATTGGACACATAAGAAGTGAGTTCATTTCTTGTGGCTTTCACCTTGAAAAGTGAAAATACTCCTTTATTTATTCAATAGTCATTTATTCAGCACCTACTAAGGACAGGCACTGTTCTAGACACAAGAATATATTAACAGCAGTGAATAACAAAGAGACAAACTCTTGTTCTCATGCAGCTCACTATGGAGGGGAGACAGAAAACAACCAAATAGGTAAAAAATGTATGTTAGCTGGTTAAATGTGTTTTGTAGAAAAAAATAAAGCCTGTTTGTTTATTTTTGCTTTTATTTCTAAAATTCTGGGATGTGGGTCATAGAGGATCCTGCTGTGATTTATGTCGGAGAGTGTTTTGCCTATGTTCTCCTCTAGGAGTTTTATAGTTTCTGGTCTTACATTTAGATCTTTAATCCATCTTGAGTTTACTTTTGTGTATGGTGTTAGAAAGTGTTCTAGTTTCATTCTTTTACAGGTGGTTGACCAGTTTTCCCAGCACCACTTGTTAAAGAGGTTGTCTTTTTTCCATTGTATATCCTTGCCTCCTTTGTCAAAGATAAGGTGACCATAGGTTCGTGGATTTATCTCTGGGCTTTCTATTCTGTTCCATTGATCTATATTTCTGTCTTTGTGCCAGTACCATACTGTCTTGATGACTGTGGCTTTGTAGTATAGTCTGAAGTCAGGCAGATTGATTCCTCCAGTTCCATTCTTCTTTCTCAGGATTACTTTGGCTATTCGAGGTTTTTTGTATTTCCATACAAATTGTGAAATTATTCGTTCTAGTTCTGTGAAAAATATCGCTGGTAGTTTGATAGGGATTGCATTGAATCTGTAGATCGCTTTGGGTAGTATAGCCATTTTGACAATATTGATTCTTCCAATCCATGAACACGGTATATTTCTCCATCTGTTTGTGTCCTCTTTGATTTCTTTTATCAGTGTTTTATAGTTTTCTATGTATAGGTCTTTTGTTTCTTTAGGTAGATATACTCCTAAGTATTTTATTCTTTTTGTTGCAATGGTGAATGGTATTGTTTCCTTAATTTCTCTTTCTGTTTTCTCATTGTTAGTGTATAGGAATGCAAGAGATTTCTGTGTGTTAATTTTATATCCTGCAACTTTACTGTATTCGTTGATTATCTCTAGTAATTTTCTGGTAGAGTCTTTAGGATTTTCTATGTAGAGGATCATGTCGTCTGCAAACAGCGAGAGTTTCACTTCTTCTTTTCCTATCTGGATTCCTTTTACTTCTTTTTCTGCTCTGATTGCTGTGGCCAAAACTTCCAAAACTATGTTGAATAGTAGTGGTGAGAGTGGGCACCCTTGTCTTGTTCCTGATTTCAGGGGAAATGCTTTCAGTTTTTCACCATTGAGGGTGATGCTTGCTGTGGGTTTGACTTAAAAGCTTTTGCACAGCAAAGGAAACTATAAGCAAGGTGAAAAGACAGCCCTCAGATTGGGAGAAAATAATAGCAAACGAAGCAACAGACAAAGGATTAATCTCAAAAATATACAAGCAACTCCTCCAACTCAACTCCAAAAAAATAAATGACCCAATCAAAAAATGGGCCAAAGAACTGAACAGACATTTCTCCAAGGAAGACATACAGATGGCTAACAAACACATGAAAAGATGCTCAACATCACTCATTATCAGAGAAATGCAAATCAAAACCACAATGAGGTTCCATTACACACCAGTCAGGATGGCTGCTATCCAAAAGTCTACAAGCAATAAATGCTGGAGAGGGTGTGGAGAAAAGGGAACCCTCTTACACTGTTGGTGGGAATGCAAATTAGTACAGCCACTATGGAAAACAGTGTGGAGATTTCTTAAAAAGCTGGAAATAGAACTGCCATATGACCCAGCAATCCCACTTCTGGGCATACACACCGAGGAAACCAGATCTGAAAGAGACACATGTACTCCAATGTTCATCGCAGCACTGTTTATAATAGCCAGGACATGGAAGCAACCTAGATGCCCATCAGCAGATGAATGGATGAGGAAGCTGTGGTACATATATACCATGGAATATTACTCAGCCATTAAAAAGAATGCATTTGAATCAGTTCTAATGAGATGGATGAAACTGGAGCCCATTATACAGAGTGAAGTAAGCCTGAAAGATAAAGACCATTACAGTATACTAACACATACATATGGAATTTAGAAAGATGGTAACGATAACCCTATGTGCAAAACAGAAAAAGAGACTCCTATGTATAGAACAGACTTGTGGACTCTGGGAGAAGGCGAGGGTGGGATGTTTCAAGAGAACAGCATTGAAACACGTATATTATCTAGGGTGAAACAGTTCACCAGCCCAGGTTGGGTGCACGAGACAAGTGCTCGGGCCTGGTGCACTGGGAAGACCCAGAGGGATTGGGTGGAGAGGGAGGGGGGAGGGGGGACCGGGATGGGGAATACATGTTAAAAAAAAAAAAAAAAAAGATACACTATGGATGTGATAAAAAAAAAATAAATAAAATTAAAAAAAAAAAAAAAAAAGAGCACTAGAGAGCACTTGAACACAAAAAAAAAAAAAAAAAAAAAAAGCCTGAAGAGAGATCAGGGGGCTGGAGGGAGGGGCTGACAATTTTAAACACAGTGATTAGGCAAGGCTTCATTGAGGGCATGACATTTGACCTGGAAGAAGTAAAGCAGTGTGGCAGGCAGTGTTGAGGGGGAAGGGCTTTCAGGCAAGGATCCTGAGGGAGAAGCAAGAGCAGCAAGACCTCCACAGCTGGAATGCAGAGAGGAAGGAGGAGACAGAGACAAGCTGAAAGGGTAAAGGGGGTGCAGACTGTTGACCCCTGTAATTATTCTGAGAAAGCTGAGAATCACTAGATGGTTTGAACAGAACAGTAACACTGAACAGGGTCCCCCTGGCTGCTGTGTTAACAGACTGAAGGGGATGAGGGCAGAATCAGGGGGACCAGTGAAGAGAACCATGGCCAAATCCATGGTGAGAGATGACGGTTGCTGGGTCAAGGCGGTGTCAGTAGAGGGGAGAAGTGGTTGGACTCTAGACTGGAAATATCCGGAAGGTAGAGCCACTGGGATTTGTTGACCGGATGTGGGGTGTGAAGAGAGAAAGCCATGAAGGATGATGCTGTGAGTTTAGCCTGAGCATCTAGAAGGGGGCACTTACTATTAACTGAGGTGGGGAGGCAGCAGGAGGAACTCTGAGGAGAGGGAACAGGAGCTTAGCTTCAGACACCTGAGGTTGAGATGCCAATCATACTTTCAGCGGAGATGTGTGGGAGGCAGACTGGCCTGCAGATCAGGCAAAAGGCCTGGGCTGAGTTACAAATTTGGGGACCACCAGCAAACACATGAGACCAGGTGAGATCACCAAAGAGCTGCATGTATCTTGGGGCTCAGGATACAGAGGAATCTGTAAAGGCTGAAAGGTGGTGACACACACATTAGAACACCCAGGAGGAGTGTCCAAGCAGCTACGAGGAAAATGCATTTTAGCAGAGGACCCTTAGAAGAGGACCTGATGAATGGCATCAAATGCTGCTGCTCATTCAGAGGGGGACTGAAAAATGCATCTGTGGCTTTGGCCAGGGGAAGGTCGTTGGTGACCTTGGGAGGAGCAGTTTCAGTGAAGTGATGGGGATGAAAAAGCTGACTGAAATGGACTTAATGAGGAAAAATCTGAAGAAGAGGCCATCCTTCTGAGAAGATTTGTTGTAACTGGGAGAAGATAACTGGAGTGGGACGGGGCAACAATGGAGTATTTAAAGGTTGGGGTAAGAGTCACATTCCTAGGCTACTAGGAAAAAACATCTTATGGAGAGAAAATAGAAAATAAGAAAGGGAAGAATTACTGGAGTGATGTCCCTAAGGAGGACAGAAGGAATGGGATTCAGGACTCAAGTGGAATGTGTGGCTTTTGCTGGAAATATGGAGAATTTATTCACTGTAATGGGAGGAGGCAAGGAATATAGCATAGACACAGGTCCTTCTATTTTTCTCAGCGAAACAGAAAGTAAGTTCATCAGCTGAGAGTGAGCGTGGGACAGAAGATTGTCAGAGGAGGAACAGGTGATGAATGTCTCCCACAGGAGACTCAGAGTGATCAGGGAAATATGGTATGATATGTCAGGCAATATTAAGGTCTAGGTGAGGTTAGCAATTATGAAGTACAAGTCTAGAATTCCAACATCACTGCCAACGTAGTTCTATGTGAAATGAAACCAGCAGGCATCTTGGATTGAAGCCTTTAAAAACTTAGTTCACAAAACTAATTTCTCCTTGTTTTGACTCTAGGCTCACCAAATACATTTCTGACTATGACTGGTTTTCTCATTTAAGTCTCCTGTTAGGAAGAGAATGCCCTGGAGATAAAAATTTAGAGTATTCCAGTCTCTCATAAATTAACATTTGCATTCTGGCTTTATGTATTAAAAAAGAAGTTCACTGTGCTGATGAAGGGTAAAGGTAGATGCATGATCACCCTGATTCTAAAACCAGGAACTCCACACCTCCTAACAGTTTGCTTCCTGACACTGCCCTAGAGCCTCACCAATACAATGAAGCATTGGACGCAGGCACAGGAGATCTGGTCCACAGACCAGCTCAGGCAATTAACTCTCCTTATCTGTTTCTCCGTGGCTCAGTGGTAAAGAATCTGCCTGCAATGCAGCAGACATGGGTTCAATCCCTAGGTTGGGAAGATCCCCTGAAAAAGTAAATGGCAACCCACTCCAGTATCTTGCCTGGAAAATCTCATGGACACAGGAGCCTAGCAGGCTACAGTCCATGGGGTCGTAAAAGAGTTGGACACGCTTAGCCTCTAAACAACAATAGGTTTCTCCACCTGTAAACTTTGTCAGCAACAGCTGACAAGCTCCTTAAAGTTCCTTGCAAAGCTAAAATTCAATTTTAGGAACCCACGTCAGGGACTCATATTTGCACAGACCAACAGTTTTGATGAGAAGTGATGGATCAGCAGAAGTTTAGGTGTAGGCTGGAAAGGGAGGAGCCAGGAAGAAAAAGCTACATTTCAAAATCCCAACATCTCTTTCTTTGCTGTTGAACTTTAAATTCTGTGCAACTGCGCTGACTGAAAACCATTTTTCACATTCTTTTTCAGTTGGGATCCAAGGAGTACCCTGTGAGCATTTCAAAGTCTCAAACTCAGTTTCACTCATCTCACAAACAAGCCCCATCTAGGGAGGTGAACCTCGGAATCGAGCAAGGAGCGGGGCGGGGGGCGGGGGGCGGGGTGGGGTGGACCTGGGCTGGAGTCCAGCAAGGGGGCGAGGAACTCACATTTCTCAATCACAGCCTCCTCGCATTCTAGGCCGAAGATCTGCAACTCCTCCACCAAGAGCTGGGCGGACACAGCCATGATGACCCAGGAGGGGGATCGGGGCCGGGCCCACCCTAGCTCCGACCTGACACCAAGAAACCCACAAGCGTGGAGATCGATGAGCAGAACGAGGTCCCTCTGATCCTTTCACCCTCCGAAGGCCTGAGGCGGAGAGTGACCAAATGGACCAAGATCAGGCGGTCAGAAGGCCCCAGTCGTCAGACACGGAGAAACACTTTTTTCTTTCTCTCTTTTTTTTGGAAGCCCTCAAACGCCGAGAGGAAGAAAACAGAAATCTTGAGAAGTTCGTTCTCCTGGGGAGAACGTCCTGCTTCCTAAAAGCCACCGCAGAGCTTCTCACTGATGGAAGCAAAACAGATTAGCCCGGAAAAACCCGCCAAATGCTTTGTACGGCGCACGCATGCGCGAGACCCGGGTTCAACCCCACCCCTTCCCCCTGCTTCCGGCTGTCGGGTCCCTGACTATGCGCGCGCACGCGCGGCCTAGGGAGCTTGAGCACAAACGCCTGAGCGCCGGCTCGCGCGCCGGTGCCTGGCAGCCGGCATACTGTACCGGCGGCTGCGCAGTTAGCCCCGGTGCTATGCTAAGTCTTCAGTCGTGTCTGACTCTTTGCGATCTCATGGACCATAGCCCGACAGACTCCTCTGTTCATGGGCTTCTCCAGGCAGACTACTGGAGTGAGTTGCCATTTCCTACTCCAGGGGATCTTCCCAACCCAGGATCCAAACTGAATCTCTCACATGTCCTGGATTGGCAGGCGGGTTCTTTACCACTAGCACCACCTGGGAAGAGATTCCTTCAGTTCAGTTCAGTCGCTCAGTCGTGTCCGACTCTGCGACCCCAGGGACTGCAGCACACCAGGCTTTCCTGTCCATCACCAACTCCCGGAGCTTGCTCAAACTCATGTCCATCGAGTCGGTGATGCCATCCAACCATCTCATCCTCTGTCGTCCCCTTCTCCTCCTGCCCCCAATCCCTCCCAGCATCAGGGTCTTTTCCAAGGAGTCAGTTCTTTGCATCAGGTGGCCAAAGTATTGGAGCTTCAGCATCAGTCCTTCCATTGAATATTCAGGACTGATTTCCTTTAGGATGGACTGGTTTGATCTCCTTGCAGTCCAAGGGATTTTCAAGAGTCTTCTCCAACACCACAATTCAAAAACATCAATTCTTTGGCACTCAACTTTCTTTATGGTCCAATTCTCACAACCATACATGACTACTGGAAAAACCATAGCTTTGACTAGATGAAACTTTGTTGGCAAAGTAATGTCTCTGCTTTTTAATATGCTGTCTAGGTTGATCATAGCTTTTCTTCCAAGGAGCAAGAGTCTTTCAGTTTCATGGCTTCAGTCACCATCTGCAGTGATTTTGGAGCCCAAGAAAATAAACTGTACTGTTTCCATTGTTTCCCCATCTATTTGCCATGAAGTGATGGGACTGGATGCCATGATCTCAGTTTTTATAACGTTGACTTTTAAGCCAGCTTTTTCACTCTCCTCTTTCACTTTCATCAAGAGGCTCTTTAGTTCTGCTTCGCTTTCTGCCATAAGGGTGGTGTCATCTGTGTATCTGAGGTTATTGATATTTCTCCTGGCAATCTTGATTCCAGCTTGTGCTTCATCCAGCCCCACATTTCGCATGATGTACTCTGCATGTAAGTTAAATAAGCAGGGTGACTTACTTGGCATGAAAGCTAGCCTTCTGCATGCAAAAGCTGTAACTGTGCTGTGGTTAGTCGCTCAGTTTTATCTGACTCTTAGCCTGCCAGGCTCCTCTGTCCATGGGATTCTCCAGGCAAGAATACAGGAGTGGGTTGCCATGTCCTCCTCCAAGGGATCTTCCCAACCCAGGGATTGCATCCAGGTCTTCCACACTGCAGGAGGATTGTTTACCATCTGAGCCACTAGGGAAGCCCATGAATAGTGGAGTGTGTAACCTATCCCTTCTCCAGGGGATCTTCCCTATCCAGGAATCAAACAGGTTTCCTGCATTGCAGGCAAATTCTTTACCAACTGAACTACCAGGGAAGCCCAAAGCTGTAACTGCCAGCACCAAAATCCCGGTTTTGTACCTTGCTTTCCGGACATCGCCTGCTCCATGTTACTCATTGAGGTGTGTTTGTCACTCTTTCGTCTTGTCCTTTGGTGCGCAGGTGCTTCCAGTACATGCCATTAAGTGTCCCATTCTGTGCCCAACTCGGGAGAAGAAGGTCTGTAGTCCCACTCAGTCTCCTGGGTCATCTCTGCCCTCGGTATGATTTCTTTGGGGAATCTGGTTGCCATGGTTATTGTCATGATTACTACCATGGCCCCAGTCACAATGATAGATCTGTTTTCTGGATCTGGAGCATTTCAGTGGAGAAGAAATGGAAAGGAAACAAGTGATTTAGTTTTGGAGACAACCCAATTGGAATTTTCAGGTAGAGGTTCCCAATGAGTTACTGGAAGCTTGGGAGTGAAGATGAGTCAGTAAGTGGGAGAGAGTTCAAAGGTAGGATGAAAAGAGGATCTTCCCCCCAAACATCTCCTAATTCATTGAGCCAAAAATCTCCATTGGCTCAGACTTAGACATACTTCGGTAATGGGATGGTAGGTAGGTAGAGTCTCTAGAAAAACTTGTTGTTATATATCAGGAGCCTTAAAAATATTCATCCTTCTTGACTCAGCATTTCTTATCCTAAGAAAACCAGCCAAAGTTCAAAGTTTTATACACAAAGATGCTCTTCATTTGTTGTTGTTGTTGTTTGTAAAAAAAGAAATGCAATTAAAGAATGGAAACTGAGTGTCCAGAGGTAAGAAAGTATAGAGTATCACTAGAGCAGTGATTCTCAAGACTGTACTAGAGAGACTTTCCAAGTGGTGCAGTGGTGAAGACACTGCACTTCAACTGCAGGGGCACGGGGTCTGGGTTTGATCTCTGCCTGGGGAACAAACATCAGTATGCCTTGGAGCACAGCCAACAAATAGAAGCAAAACAACAGCAACAGACCATTAAAAAGACTGCACTAAAGGGGTCAAAGACTTTTAGGGGGCACCTGAGGACATGCGGGAGAAAGGACCAGGCAGAGCCCATGTCTTGGCTGCAGTCCAGCCCTGTGAAACACGGTGTACTCTGCATATTAACTGCAGCTGGGAGAGCGTTGGAGAGGGAAAACCAGCTTACATCCTCCTAAGACTTCTTACTGGTGGGTGCTAAGGACGAGGGTGGGATCAGTCCACCTGGGTACAAGCAGTAATAATTTATCACCGATTTAGTGGCATAAAACAGCATTCATCTATTAACCCACAGATCAGTAGGTCAGAAGTCTGGGCACAACATGTCTGGGTTCTCAGTAAGGTAGAAATTAAAGTGTTGGCTAAGTTGCATTCCTTTCTAGAAGTTTCTGCCACCAGCTAGGGACAGTGCTTTTAGTGGGCTCATGTTATTAGGTTAGGACCACCTAGATAATGTCACTTTCTTAAGATCAACTGATTTGTGGACATAATGACATCTGCAAATCCCTTGATAGCAGTGCGAGGAGGGTACTGCTCCAACAGGAAAAGACATTGACCCAATCAGTTCAGTTCAGTTGCTCAGTCATGTCCGACTCTTTGCGACCCCATGGACTGCAGCACACCAGGCTTCCCTGTCCATCACCAACTCCCGGAGTTTACCCAAACTCATGTCCATTGAGTCGGTGATGCCATCCAACCATCTCATCCTCTGTCGTTCCCTTCTTCTCTTGCCTTCAGTCTTTCTCAGCATCAGGGTCTTTTCAAATGAGTCAGCTCTTCACATCAGGTGGCCAAAATATTGGAGTTTCAGCTTCAACATCAGTCCTTCCAATGAACACTCAGGACTGATCTCCTTTAGGATGGACTGGTTGGATCTCCTTGCAGTCCAAGGGACTCTAAAGAGTCTTCTCCAACACCACAGTTCAAAAGCATCAATTCTTTGGCACTCAGCTTTGTTTACAGTCCAACTCTCACCTCCATACATGACTACTGGAAAAACCATTGCCTTGACTAGATGGACCTTTGTTGGCAAAGTAATGTCTCTGTTTTTTGAATATTGACCCAGTAGAACACAACAAAGAAAAAAAGCAGAAGTTGTTAGAAAATGACATGATCTATTTTGAAATATATAATACCTTCAATATTGGATATGGTTTCATTACATGGTAATTACCAAAATAGTGTCGTATAATGGTGAGAGAGTTAAAACATCATTTGTTCTGGGTGTTAAATAGGCTAAGAATGACTTTGACCCCTCTTCTCTTTCCTTTTCTGAATTATCATGCTTCGTTGCTCAGTCATGTCCAGCTCTTTCGACCCCATGGACTGTAGCCTGCCAGGCTCCTCTGTCCATGGGATTCTCCTGGCAAGAATATTGGGGTGAGTAGCCATTCCCTTCTCCAGGGGATCTTTCTGGCCCAGAGATCGAACCAGTGTCTCCTGCATTACAGGCCGATTCTTTACCATCTGAGCCACCAAGGAAGTCCCCCAGTTTTTTTTCATTAGCTATTATTATCTGGAGATGAGTGATGAGGGTTGATAGTCAAAGGACTGGTTCTGGTCTCTTCTAGAAAGTTTTCAAGAGCATGTCAAGACTTTCTCTTTAGAATGTGGGATTATTCATCATATATTGTATTCAGATGAAAGGGAAAAAAATCTCATTCTACATCCTGTAACAAATGCTTAGTGACCATTTTTTTCCTGCAGGTTTACATCCGTTACCCTTTGCCTTTCCTTACCAAGCAACAGGAACTTTTGGTACATCAAAGACAGGGGTCAAAAACTGTGGCTCTTAGGCCAAATTTGACCAATTATCTTTTTTATGAGGCTTGCAAGTCAAGAATGGTTTTTATATTTAAAATGACTTGTTTATTTATTTAATTTATTTTTTTTTGACCATGCTGCATGACTTGTCGGAGAAGGCATTGGCGACCCACTCCAGTACTCTTGCTTGGAAAATTCCATGGACGGAGGAGCCTGGTAGGCTGCAGTCCATGGGGTCGCACAGAGTCAGTCACGACTGAA